CTCTCTCTCTCTCTCTCTCTCTCTCTCTCTCTCTCTCTCTCACACACACACACACACACACACGTGTGTATGGACACAAAACCAGAGGTTTTAATGTAAAACTCAGTGACAGAGGAAGGGAAAAGCTTCATAAAGGCAGAAATATCCCACGGTGAATAAAACGCCAGTAAAATGCCTAACATTTCAAAGGCATCATGTGGTTTTTGAACAAATGTGTTTGAGTGCCTGGGGAGTACAGGTAAAGTTCCAATTTTGGTGTAACCAGCTCTCAGCTGTTCAGTGGAGGGTTAAACAGGCAGTGGGAAGAAAGCATGTTAACTCTGGGAGACTTAGACACTAGGACCTAGGGAACAGAGGCCAGTTCTGTGGTATGGCTCACTGGAAACCAGGTTCATTCTTATGGGAATGGCTCTGACAAGGACTGACCCTACTGCCTTCTGGGGCAAGACAGTGCCATTTCCAGAGTGATGGCATGCTTAAGTGTTTCAGAATATTCTATAAGCTTGTGGGATATATCCATGGCTATCTTTATACCAACAGGGTTTCCTGGGGTCATGTGGTAAGTCAGTCTCAGGTGCTTCCTTCCAAAACCTGTTATGTCTTTGAGGCCTTGGGGAGATGGGGCCACACCAGGTAAACCATGAGTCTGCAGGGCAGGATCCTGGTGAGTCATCATGTTTCCAAGTTTGAGCTGAAAAAATTCAGGGTCTCAGCAGCTAGCACCTTTGCTTACTATTTATGGAGCCCTTAGATGTCTCTTTAGGTTCTGGTTGAGGCCAATGGAGAATATTCTAGAACCTGAGGAGGAAAGGCTTACTTGGCCCATCTGTACCAGAGCCTACTCAGAGTTTCAAGCAGACTATTGCTTTCTTTTATCCACATCTATTCACCCCATTTTCTCCCATTGCCTCTGCTGAAGAGCTCTTGTGTATTTCCCATTGCACAAAATTGCTCTGCCTCATTCCTTTTAAATATCTCTTGCTAACTTTATAAATTATAATGGTTTTCTCAGGATAATAAAATGGAGGGTGGTAGGCACTCATTTTCCCATAAAAGACTCTCAGAAGGTGTTCTGAAAGAAGTGATTATTTCATTCCTCTCCCTACAGTCAAATAGCAGGAAGCACTAATGTACCGCCTACTCTTGAAAAGGGTTATCTGCAGTGTTTCAGGGAGGCCAGATGTGAACACACACATCAAGTCATCTCCAGAGAATGGCAGAAAGCAAGGAGGAAGGCAGGGAGAGGGACAGAGATGTGGTGTGTCACAGCCTAACAAGGCCAACAGCATGAGTGCCAGCTTTTCTCTTACAAGCCAGGCATCTTTGGGGCATAACCCAAGAGCAGCATCAGGGGGGCTCAAAGTGTCTTACGAGGAAAGAACTGGAGGGAGGGGCCTCTAGGCCTCCTGGTGCTGACATTCTTGTTACTGCCAAGTGTATTATACACTTGGTTACTCTGTGATGGGGGCTGATCAAAAAGAGGGCTGGGAGAGTAGCTCAGTTGGCAGAGTGCTATCCCCTGTAGCACACAAACTGGCCATGGGTACATACCTGTAATCCCAGGAAGCAGAGACAGGGGAGGCAGATGTCCAAGGACCTTCTCAGTTACATAACAAGTTTGAGGCTAGTGTTGGCTACATGAGACCTTGCTTCAAAGACAAAAGCTGTTGTAACTAGAATCTATGTTTTATTATTATTGTGTATATGTTTATTTGTGTGCATGACTTATGTGGGGGGCCCATGTGCCATAGTATGTATGTGGAGGTCAAAAGGAAATGTTTATGGAGTCTGGTTTTTTTTTCCCATTTTCATGGGGGCCCCAGAGATTTGAGCTTAGGTTGTCTGGTTTGTGTGGAAAGTACCTTCACCTGCTGAGCCATCTCAGCAACCTTGGCCTTTAATCCCAGCACTTGGGAGGCAGAGGCAGGCTGATCTCAGTGAGTTCGAGGCCAGCCTGGTCTACAAAATAAGTTCCAGGACAGCTAAAGCTGCATTGAAACAAACAAACAAACAAACAAACAAACAAATCCAAAACAAACAAAAAACCCCAAATTTAAATAAAAATCACAAAAAATTTACTACCACTGCTACTACTATTACTGTGTGTGTGTGTGTGTGTATGTGTGTGTGTGTGTATGTATGTATATATGTATGTATGTATGTTCATTGTGTGTGTGGTCAGAGTAAAATGTTTGTGGAGTTGGTTATTTGACCTTTGTGTGGATCCCAGTGTTGAACTCAAGTTGCTGGGCTTTTATTCAAGTGCCTTTACCCACCAAGCTACTTGGCCAGTGTGTTTTAGTTAGGTATAGCAGTGCTCAGCAAGAACTAAACAGCTTCCACTGAAATTACATGTTTAATGTTTAATTGTACAGTTTTACAGAGAAGATCCCACTATTTATTTTTGTAAATTTCGGTGACATTTTTCATCTTGGGGAGACAAAGTTGCTAGGAGCTTGGCAGAGGGTGCCTGTCAAAGCTTGTTTCCACCTTCAAGGTGCCTTTGGCCCAGCCCTGACCCCAGAGTTCAATGCAGTCTCCATGCAATTGGATCAAACACAGGCTGCCTGGCAGACCCTCTAACCATTAAGCCACCTTGCTGGTCTGTGATAGTATCTTTATAAATTGAATACCTAATTAAGTCTTAGCTCAGATCTCTTTATTTGTTTTGAGACAGGGTCTCATATAGGCCTGCTGGCCTTGAGCTTGCTTTATACCCAAGGATAACCTTGAACTTCTGATCTTCCCACCTCTACCTCTAGAGTGTTGAGATTTAGGTATGCACTAGTAACCCAGTTTATGCAGTGCTGGGGATAGAACCTAGCTACACAAGCACTCAATCAACTGAGCTACATCTAAACCCGAGACTAGCTAGCCTTTCCCATAAACACTCATTTTTAATTGAAGGTACTAGTGACATTATTTTCCATGGCACAGTGAGGACAATGCAGATAACTGGCTAATTGTATTACTCCATGTAGAGTGGTCTGACAAAACCACGGAATAGTTATCAAAAGTAGCTGCCTGTCGTGGCAGTTGGTTTACATCATTCATTATGAACTTGGAATAATCCACCACAAATGGCATGGGGCTGCTGTGCACTTGTCAGACTGGGCAGGAAGAAACAGTTCTCACTCACAAGCCAGTTTCCACACCTGTTTAAAGGTGAGAAGACATGGATGATGAGCTAACCGTGACATTTGTATGAAAGACTAGAACCTTGGCCAAGAGAAACTAGTAGCCATGAACCCTCATGGTGGAAGAAGGATGGGAAAGTCCCAGCATGCTGGAGCATGAGAAGCAATTAATGAGATACCTGGGGTGTCCAATTACAGACAGCACCAGGAAAATACACTGGCAAAAAATTACCAGTGTCAGGATTCAAGATTTGGTCCATGGGCTAGGGGTGTGGCTCAGTTGGTAGAATGATTTTATAGCATGCACGGAGGCCTGCGTTCTATCCCCAGCACCACAGCATCACATAAGCAGGGCATCGTGTGCTATGCCTGTAATCTTAGCACTCCAGAGGCGAAGGCAGATGTTCAAGGTCATAATTGGCTACAGAGTGAGTTGAGACCAGTCTGGGATACATGAGACGCTGTCTTGACCACAGAGCCCTCAACTGTGTATGACTTGCTCTCTCAAAGTGACTATGTTATTAGACTCATGAACACCTGTTTCAAAGATTAAGGATGTACTGTATAGCATGCATAGGAAAAGCACCAACAGTTCCAAGGCTTCAGCTGGAAGCTAAAGTGCCCTTCCTAGGCTGCACCCTGATTCCAGTCCCTCAGCACATCTATAGGAATGTCCCCAAAGCTGAAAAAATACAGTTCATGAAGAAAAACAAACAAACAAACAAACAAACAAAGAAAACAAACAGCAATAACAAATGGGTGAAGGGGAGGAGACAGTGGGAAGAAAGACAACCAGGAAGAAAAAACTCCACGGTGAATGGGATGGTGGTACACACCTGTGGACCTAAGGCTTGAGAGGCTATGGCAGCAGGGTGAGGAAGTCAAGGCCAGTCTTGGCTACACAGTGAATTTCAGGCCAAATTGGTACATGAGACCCTGTCTAAAAAAGGAGGAGAAGGAGGAGGAGGAGGAGGAAGGAGGGAGGAGGGAGAAAGATGGAGGAATAAAAACAGTACGGTAAAATAAGCCATCATTTGTACCTTGTGGTTTTATAGGAGCTTCGACTATAAGGTCAGAGTTCCTCATTGTAAAAGCATCAGGTAATAGGTTGAGAAGGTGACAGATCTTATTCATAAAATATCTTCCTAATGATGGTATCTACATTTAGTTTAGCTCAGAAACTATAAATTATGCACATAAAAAAAAAAGAAGCCCTAAGCTGGGCAGTGGTGGCACACACCTTTAATTCTGGCACTTGGGAGGTAGAGGCAGGTGGACCTCTGTGAGTTTGAGGCCAGCCTGGTCTACAAAGCCAACTCCAGGATAGGCGCCAAGCTAGAGAAACCCTGTCTCAAAACAAAACAAAACAAAAAACAAACAAACAAAAAAGAAGCCCTGGCTGAGCACAATGGTACATACCTTTAGTTCCAGCATTTAGGAGGCAGAAGTAGGTAGCAATCTGTGATTTCAAGGCCAGTCTGGTCTACTTTGCATTGTAGGCCAGCCAAGATTATATAGTAAAATCCTGTCTTAAATACACACACACACACACACACACACACACACACACACACACACACCCTGTTCTCCAAAGAGCAAACACACACAGAAAACAAACCCTGAGAAGATACCTTATCCAATCACCCTTAACCCTGTGGGGTATAGGAGGGGGATTGGCTCATCTGGTGGCCTCTGAGACTTTCTTTGTGTGGCTTTGATATGTATGGGAGCCATCTTTACACCTGGCAACAAGGGGTTAAGATAATTAAGATCAGAAGTCTCATTACTAGAGGATATGTTTTGATTATTAGATCAGATGGAGGGAAGGGAAGGATGATTTTGGAAAGAAGCATCACTGGATTGTTTCATTAACTACGCAGTATTAAAGAAGTCCCTCAAGACACGATAAGAACTTTAATTTGTGCAACTCTGTTTCATTCATTCATTTCATGTGTGTGTAAAGGCAAACATGAGAGCCTTAACTGATTTAGACAAAATTGCTCTGTATGAGAACTGGAGGGTTGACAGCTTGCAGCTCAGCTAGGGAGCCATGGGCAGGATGCGTTCGAGTCAAGCTCTTATTGGACAGAGAAGACACAGACAAATGATCGAATGATGATGCCATCACCAGACCAGAAGTGATGACAATGCCCTAAGTAAGACTGGGCCAAGACCTCAAGTCGGGGTTCTCACACCCGCCAGCTAGGCAAGCTGAGTCATCTACCTAAGTCCAGGGCCTCCTCCTCAGGGACACCTGGGCACAGGTACTTTCTGAGCAAGTAGAAGATACCCCTGCCAAAGAAGCAAAGGAGAAAAAGCTGTGTGTGCTGCTGGCATCAGCCACAAACCCAAGGCAAAACTGAGTTCTAGGTTTAAGTTGGTCATGTATCAAACCAAACCAAAATGAAAAACCAAAACCAAGACAAAACACCAAAAGAAAAAGGGCTGGGGAAATGGCCCAGTTGGTAAAGCACTTGTGCTGTGAGCATAAGGACCCGAGTTCTACCCTAGAACTAGATAAGAAAGCTGGGCATTGTGGCATACTTTTAACCCCAGTGCCGCAACAGAAATATACTTGGGACTTGCTGGCCAGCCAGCCGAGCCTACTCTTTGTGCCCTAGGTCCCAGTAAGAGGACTGTCTCAAAAGACAAGGTGGAATTTGCTACATAGCCCAGGTTGGCCTAGAACTCACAGGCTATTCTCCTGCCTCTGTCTTCTGAGAGCTGGGATTATAGGCATGCACCATCACACTAGACTAGAATCACTTCGTGTAAGAATAAAAATCTGGGGCTGGAGAGATGGCTCAGATGTTAAGAGCACTGGCTGCTCTTCCAGAGGTCCTGAGTTCAATTCCCAGCAACCACATGGCGGCTCACAACCATCCGTGGTGAGATCTGATACGCTCTTCTGGCCAGTCGGCATACATACAGGCTGAACACTGTATACATAATAAATAAATAAATCTTTAAAAAACTAATAAAAATCTGTTCTTCTGTCCTTTCCTCTTCTCTTCTTTCACATTTTGAGACCAGGTCTTACACTAACAGTTAGGGGCAGCCTGAAACTTTTGGCTTAATGATTTTCCTGCCACCTCAGCCTCCTGAATAGCTGGGAGTACAAGTTCATGCTTTATTTTGTGTGTGTGTGTGTGTGTGTGTGTGTGTGTGTGTGTGTGTGTGTGTACACATGTGTACAGATGGAGAGGAGGACACTGTATGTCCTGTTCTTCACTCTCTGCTGTATCCCCCTGAGACAGTCTTTCACCAAAACTGAAGCTAGACTTACGGCCACTAAGTCCCAGCAATCCTCAGGCTCTGCTTCCCACAGCAATGGGGTTACAGGAATGTACCTAACCATGCCAGGGGTTTTACAGGGGTGCTGGGAATTTGAGTTCAGGTTCTCATGCTTACATAGCAAGTGTTCTTTACCTCTGAGCCATCTCAATCCAGCTTTTCCCACTTTTCACAATTAGCTAGAATTGCTTCATTTACTGAAGAGCAAGTGCTCGCCACAGACACAATAAGGAGACACCAGCAAAGACAAGTCAGCCTTGGGTGACAACCCTGGGTCAAGAGCAGGAGGCCCTCCAGCCTAGCCAGAGCCCTGGATGGTTCTGGTCTCGCCTCCTTGTCTGCCAAATTACACCTCCCAGGAGTCCCTACGGTCCTAACACCTAGCAATCTAGGATTCCAGAACTGTCTCCAAATTACACCTGATTTGACTGGCTGCAAATACTTTGAAGTATAATTACTATTATTTAGTGTATGTAAAAGGTTTTGGGCTCTGCATTAGGGACATGGTCTTATGAAAAAGACTTAGAAGCCAGTTTCTGCTTAGTTGTCTAAAAGTCCATTTGGGACAGAAGTGATAGCACATGGCTCTGTGGATCCCTGGGCTCTTGTGTAGTTTTGAGAGACCAGAGTTTTGTGAACTAGGTCCTTGTACACGAGAAAATTGGAATGCCCAGCAGGGCTCCATTAAAGCACGGAAGCCTACAGAGATAGCCTTGACTGTGAGATTTGACCACGAAGCCCTCCACAAGGAGTGCCCAGCGGTGCTGGGTGGTGTGCACTCTTGAGAGGTCCCAGGGCCTAAAGCAGTGCAGTAGGCAGACAGGAGCAGGCAGGTATCTGCCAAAGTTGTAGGGGAGTGGTACACCGAGAGGGAAATGCCAGGGATGGTAGTGAGGTCAGACTCAGCTTCCCTGTCCCAGGGTCTAGGACTTTACTTAGAATTGACATGAGTTCAAGGTTGCTAAGCTTACTGTGTGGGCCAACATGCAACATGGTCATGAAAGCTCATTCAGCCTCGCTAACCCCACCTTGTGCATGTTTGCACCCCCTTCCACGCCCTTACTTTGAGTGTGCTATTCTTGGCGCTCAGCTGCTGCTCCAGCTGTGAGATCTGGCTGGCGTAATTCAAAGGAAGTTTGGTGAGACTGGCCTGGAGTCGCTGCACATCTTCTACCAGCTGGGCAATCTCTCGCTCTTTGGCAGCCAACTCTACTTCCAGGCTGGATCGGGTCAGCACCTCTATGGCCTGCTCCTGGGAAGAAGACAGCAATGACGAAACAGCACCGGCTCTAGAGTAGGGAGTTTGTGAACCTGCTCACCTACAACTGAGGCACAAGTCACATAGATATGAGGGTGCACTCAGTAGGCTTCAGGGCAGGACATGACCTCCTGCCTTTGCATGGCTGTCACCTGGATCTGTTATTTGGGCAGATACTGTCTTAGACTCTACCTTGTGCTAGGCATGGGGCCACTGAACTGAAGCACAAAAGCCTGTCTTTTCCAGGGTCAGCTTAGACACACAAGTACATTGTTGTGACATGTGAGGTACTGCCAAGGACTACAGGAAACTGATAGTAGGGAAGGTGTGAGAGCTGGAGTTGGAGAGGCTCTCCAGTCAGTGGCAGGGTTCTACCATGGAAGCCTAGGCTAGCCTGGAGCTCAATGGGAGCCACCTCTCCCTGCTTGCTGAGAACTGGGGTTAAGAATGTGCATTGAAAAGCTGTCATCAGTACCGTTTCCCAAGACAAGGTCTCCGTGTAGTCCTAGCTGTCCCGGAACTCACTCTGTAGATCAGGTTGGCCTCAAACTCACAGAGATCCACCTGTCTGTTTCCTAAGTGCTGGGATTAAAGGTGCGTGCCACCACCCCACTGCCTGTAAAAAGGCTCTGACTTTAAAGTAGATTGGTCCAGCAGAGTCTCACTGAGGTGGATGCATGTGAGCAGAGACCTGAAGGGTGAGGTGATGTTTGGTGGACAAAGAATTCTCAGCCAGAGGCACAGCAATGAGGGAGGTTCAGGTGATAGTATTTAGAACTTTATGGAAACACAGTTTTTTGTTTGTTTGTTTTTTTTAAACCCTGTAGTGGGGTCCAGTGTCCTTTTACTTACAACATGTATGTTATTTGACAAACTGACTCACAGTATTTTTCTTTTTCTTTCTGGTTTAACAAGGATGGCTCTCTGTGAGTTCGAGACCAGCCTGGTCTACAAAAGCTAGTTCCAGGACAGCCTTTAAAGCAATACGGAGAAACCCTGTCTCAAACAAACAAACCAACTCCCGCCCCCCCAAAAAAAAACAAAACAAAAAAACAAGCAAACAAAAAACCAAAAACAAAACAAGGCTCTCATGCACCTCAGGTTGGACTTGCTATGTAGGGAGGCTGGCTTTGAACTCAACATGCTTTCATCTCCCTAGTCCTGAGATTATAGGTGCTCAACACCACTCCAGAGGTTAAAGATGAGGAATATACACATTGGTGATTCTTCTGCTTAGAAATGCTTATGATAAATGAGTGGCTTATTCATTTATCTCTTACCCCATGCGCATGCTCTCTCTCTCTCTCTCTCTCTCTCTCTCTCTCTCTCTCTCTCTCTCTCTCTCTCTCTCTCTCTCTCTCTCTCTTCTCTCTCTGTGTGTGTAGGTCAGAGGACAACTTATAGGACTTTGTTCTCAGATTGCCAGACTTAGCAGCAAGAGCCTTTCCCTGTTGAACCATAGCTCTGGCCCCTGAAAACTTGTTTAAAAAAAAAAAAAAAAAGCCTTCAGGGTCTGGAGAGACGGCTCAGTAGTAGTTTAGAGCATCTGGCTGCTCTTGCAGAGGACCTGGGTTCTTTTCCCAGCACTCATTGTCCAGTTCCAGGGCACCTCGAGCCCTCTTCTGGTCCAGGTAGGAACACAGGCCCTGCATGGACATGGTGCACAGACACATGCGGGCAAAACACACCAGACACATAAAGATAAGAAATAAATGTACAAAACATATTAAAAAGGGGGCTGGAGAGGTGAGTCAATGGCTACGAGCATTAGCTGCTCTTCCAGAGGACCCAGGCTTGATTCCTAGGACTTACATAATGGCTCACAACCATCTGAACTTCAGTTCTAGGGATCCAATGCCCTCTTCTAGCCTCCATTGGCACAAAGCCCTCACACAGTGCACAGACATACATGCAGACAAAGTACCCATACACATAAAATAATTAAAAACAAAACAAAACAACAAAAACCTTTCCATCATCCCCTAAATCCCCATGTGGAACACATATAAATCAGAAAGGTACTTAAAAACAGTTCAATCTGTAACTTGGTTTTTCAATGACTCAGCAGTGTTTTCACCATGTGTGGTGGTGCATACATGTCGTCATCTCAGCACTTGGGAGGCAGAGGCAGGAGGATGGAAAGCTTAACAGCCTGGGATACACAGTGATTCCCTGTACCTAAATAACAAAGAAAATACATTTTTAAAAGTAATCATGGCTCAAAAAAAAAAAAAAAGTAATCATGGCTCTTGGATAATTCTGGAAGCTTTTCTGCAGAGTAGACACATTTGGGTATGAATGATGTGGATCAGGGTTGGAGTGTGGCCTCCACAGAATGAAGCAGTACACACAGGCGTGCACACACACACACACTCACACCACACACACTCACACACACCACACACACTCCTTAATCTTCATCTTGTCTAGTCTGTGCCCAAGGTGCTTGTCCTAGGGCACATGGCACATGTGGGGACAGGCAGTTACTGAGGGAAGTGAGTTTTCATAGCTCTGTACTTGGAAATTCAGGCTTTTTCTATTAAGCTTCATGAAGATCTGTGTGCCAAGCAGACCCTCTTCTGGTTCTTTGATATTTATGATGTGATGTTGCATTTCCTTCCTCTGACCCCAGGCTCTGTTGTAAAATAGGTCATTCATTCCTCTGACCTGGGCCCCTAAGCATCCCCTGCTGGCTTGTCCCCAGCACAGTCTATACACACCACCCTTTCCCCCATGTATCCTACAAATTCCTCATTCAAGTTGATTTAAAGCATTGCTGTCCGATGTTCATAGCAGCACTATTTGTAATAGCCAGAAACTGGAAGCAGCCTAGATGCCCCTCAACCGAAGAATGGATAGAGAAATTGTGGTACATTTATACAATGGAGTACTACTCAGCAGAAAAAAACAATGGAATCTTGAAATTTGCAGGAAAATGGATGGAACTCAAAGAAACCATTCTGAACGAGTTAACCCAATCACAAAAAGACAAACATGATATGTATTCACTCATATGTGGATTTTAGACATAGAGTAAGGGATTACCAGCCTACAATCCACACTGCCAGAGAAATAAGTAAACAAGGAGGACTCTAAGAGAGACATACATGATCCCCTGAGCAAATTGAGAGCATGGGAAGAGGGGGGAGGGAGCTACGAGAATGAGAAGGGGAGAAGAGGAAGGATGCAGAGGTCATGAGGGAGCAGAAGGGTTGAGTCAGGTGTGGATGAGAAGAAAGGATATGCGATAGGTAGAGTTTTAGTTGGGGGTGTGGCAGGGGAGGAGGGGAGGGAGAAGGGAACTGGGATCGTCATGTAATTCAATCTTGTTTGTAACTCAAATAAAAAAATTAAAAAAATAATAATGAAAAAGAAAGCATTGTTGTCCTACAAAGTCAAATGAGATATGAACATATACTCCTACCTACCTATTCCTTGGCCCATATCTGTCTCCTACATGCAGAAGCTCCTGTTGGTCCCATAATGGGATACAATGAGATTTGAAAGAAATGGAGAAGGGCCAGGGGGCTGAGGTGGAGGGAGAAGTTTAAGCCTGGGAAATAATGCTGGGAACTGTTATTTTAGAGGCTAAGAATGGAAGAGATAGGCATAAAGGAGAAGGGAAATGCACGAACAGAGGGAATAGGATGAGGGCAGGTCCAGGCTAGCCTTTCAGTTCCCTCCTCATACCCAGAGAGGAGTAGGATTCAGTCTTGATTCTCTTTCATGCTGCATGCACCTCAGTTTCTGTCTCTACCTGGAGAGCAAGGTCAGCTGGGTGGATCAGAGATGTTTGCCATAGATGGACTTGCTTCCCAATAGTCTATTTCCACTAGGCTCTAAAGGATGGCCAGGTGTGCTGCAACTGTTCCTTGAACTAATATTTGTCTGTAGACATTTCACAGGGGCTCTTTTGAGCATCCTGTCTTTTTCAGTGCCCACACAAGAGCGGATGAAGGAAAAGGGGCCTGTGAACTATTTGGCACTTATGTAGGTGTCTCTCTCTTGCTATGTGAGACATCCAATGCATTGTTTCTGGCTCTGCTATAGTTATGGATTCTACTCTTTCTCAGTTGAGTTCAACCAGCCAAGCCCAATTGGGAGGTACAGAGAGGGAAGTCCCCACTCATTGTGACTGGGAGACTGAAGCCAGGCCAGGTCAATGCTGCACTTAGCCCATGATGAAGTGTGGAAGCCACCCCTGGCCCCACAACTGACTCGACCTGCAAAAACATTCATTTCCTTCTGGATTGTTTGGGTTTTCATTTCACCGGTAAGGTGCCAGGATTTTTTGCAATCCAAACATTTAGCTCAAAAGCCCTGTTAGACATGTTAGGATGAATGGCTTCCTCTGGACTGAGGGCAGCCACAGAAGCTGGGAAGCTGCTGGCCCTGGCTCTAGGGCCTGCCTCTGCTCTGGTGCTGTTCCCAGGACATTTACATTTGGGTAAGGAAAAGTAAAGGGTCATTTCAGAGAAAAAGAAGTGATTGTACTCCTTAAGTGTGAAGGAAGTAACGGCCTCCTGCATGAGAACCTTTCTACTACACCCGGAAATGGTCAGGGCACTCTGTATTTAATAATATCATTACTACACCTGGAAATGGTCAGGGCACTCTGTATTTAATAATAATATTATTTCTGAGATGGGGCCTTGTTGCTATGCAGCCTAGCCTGGTCAATCCTCCTGCCTCAGCTTTCTTAGGGTTTTTGGTGGTGGTTGTTGTTTTGAGATTAAGTTTCATATTGCTCAGGCTGGTCTTGAAGTTGCTATATAGCTGAAAAAGATCTTGAATTCCACATCCTTCTGGTTCTACTTCCCAAGAGCTGGGATTACATGTGTTTGACACTATGCCCAGCTACACCCTCTTTTTACAGATAAACAGAGTCAGGAACATAGGTCTCTTTGCCCCATATCTCCAGTTCAGAGCCTTCAGAGCTGGGGTCTGCACTAAGTATTTTAGCTAGTGCGATGCTCTGTCACTAGTTCCAGTTC